TTTTTTTGCAACTATTGTTTTTTTCCATTCCTACCTCGAAATTTTGTGGAAAACAGCTAAGAAAAAACTCCCTGAAAATGTGAACTTATTAACATTAAGTACTCGCATTTTATGGTATAATCGTGGTCAATGATGGGATTTCCTCAAAATTGAACGTTCTATAAAAGTCTCCATTGCGGCGTAACTCAAACTCCCACCAGCGAGTTAGTCGGGTCACTAAACCCAATATTTTCACGAAATTCCCTTTTTTCGCCTCTATCTCGTAAATGACAGGAGGTACAGAAAAATTACAAATCAGAAACGTGTAGATCATTCAAGTTGAGATATTGGCCTTTAAAATTGAGTTAGTGTGGAATTTTCATTCAATCAAAGTTTACGTGTATTTTATATGGGAAATCTTTGCACGCCTTGGGCGAGTACTTAATGTTACTATTAAGGGTTCAAATTTTCAGGTAGTTTTTTTTAGGTGTTCTCCACAGAATTTTGAAAAAAAAACAATATTTGCAAAAATAGCACCCTAGTATATATACATATGAAAGTAGCTATGTATTAAATAAAAAATTTACACACACACACACACATATGTATGTATACAGACTGCATAAAAACGACCAAATGACAGATCAAAGAAAATGAATTTTCATTTAACACTCATACCAATACACCATATTATGTATATACAACCTCATGGTAGGATATGGATATACAGCCACTCGGCTGTACAAAAAACCAAACGGAAATTATACGAAAATAAATGAATGCACCTGCATACGCACTGTACACTACAAATGTATGTATGTAAAGCCAGCCACCCAATTATGCCACCTCCTCTCTCCTGCATGCGCTCCAACTCAGGGCACACTAGCCACCTGCCTTCCCGCCTTGCAACAAAAGCGCGATCTGCATCCATTTCATTCGCTCCAATGCCTAATGACTTGCCGAATCAACAGCCGATGTGACTGTGACTATGGCTGTATGTATGTACGTATGTAGCTACGGTCGGCGCACACAATGGCCGCCGCCATACCGCCGCAGCAACAACTAACTACTTGACATGTGCAGTGAGCGAAGCGCTGCAGCCAAAATAAAGAAACATATATCAGCAAAGTTTCCCTATTTTCAGCAAAGTGCACACACACACACACATGCGTACGTGCATTAACATAGTTTTTTTTGGGGGGGGGGCTTTCATTTAAATATGCTTGTATCTCTGTATATAAAAGTGAAAATTTGCATGCCCGCTATTTTATGTGCCTGTGTGTGTATGTGTGTGTGTCGCCTGCCTGTTTGCCTTTCGAGCTTATCACTCGTGGAGCATCGTGCACAGCTCGTTAGCAGCGGGGACAGTTCGTTTAGTGCATTCACCCGGGCCACCACCTTGTCTGGCGTGCCTCCTCAGCGTTTTTCGTCCATCGTGGCCCCATCATCAAATTGCAACAGCTGCATGGCTCTCAGCCTTATTTGTTATTTTTGTTGAATTCGCTATTTAATTTATTTTTATTTTTTGCTTTGCGTATACATAAATAAATATGTATGTATGAGTTTATGTTCACTCGTTTCCATTTTATCGCACATGCCACTCAATCACCCATTGCGCCCAACCGTATACAATTCATTTTTACCCAAACCCATTGAGTACATAAAATTATTTTAGTGGGATTTTTTACGAAATTCGTGGACTTTAAGAAAAATTTTACGAAAACTTTATTGTTAAGCTGAGAAAATTAAAGGTTCCAGGGACCGTAGCAGCTACAACTTTTATTAAGAAATTGCTCTTTAACAATTACTTTTTGAGTTTTATTTAATTACTCCAAAATAACAATTATGTTTGATTTTTATCTAAATAATCATCAAAAAAACAGTTATGTTTGATTTTTAAATTATATGTCTTAGATAACAGTTATCGAATAATTTTATTTATAAAAGTCATAAATGAAAATCAGTCACTGACCTTGATTTTTTAAATCATACTTATAAAAGTCATTTTGTTTCCCAACACCTTCTTAACTGCGAAAAATCTTAATGACTCTTATACGAATGATTTAAAAAAAAAGAAGTCGGTGACTGATTTATATTGATGACTCACTGCTTGATTTTTATCGATGTTTTTTTACTGTGGTGTAGTAGTAAGCAGTGCGCGCTTTCACTCATCAGCACCTGGGTTCAAGCCCTGGTCAAAGCAACATCGCAAAAAATATAGAAAAAAGTTTTTTCTTAACAGCGCTCGTCCCTCGGCAGGCAATGGCAAAACTCCGAGTGTATTTCCGCCATGAAAAATAGCTTCTCATAAAAATACAATCGCCGCTTTGTGTGACAACAAGTCGGAGGAGGAGCTCGGCCAAACACTAACATATGTGTAAGCGCCAATCTATTATTATTATTATAAATAAAAGTCTCCAATAACTGTTATCAAAGATATATAATATAAAAATGAAAAATAATTGTTATTTTGGATTTATAATATAAAAACAAAAATAATTGTTTTTTTTTAATTTTGCATAAAAATTGCAAATAAAAATTTAATTCCAAATTTGAGTCTTGACGAAAAAAGAAATCGATTGGCATGTATCAATTAGTTGTAGAACATTTCTTTCTTAGTGAATTGTGCCATGACAGTTTTCATTAATAACTGTTATGTTGGGTCTCTGAAGGGTTCCTTAACTCAAAGACTTAACGAAATATTTGACAACTAACGCTCGCAGTTTTTTTCATATTGCCTCATAATCGCACCAAAAGTTCTTCTAGGAAGAAGGTACATTCTTCTCGTTCAAAGAGAAGTTTAGACCTTGAGAAGCATCAAACATAAGAGAGCGCTGTCGTACAGCTAAAGAGATTCATCGAAGAAGGACCCTTAACTAGTTTTAGCGTTCCTATTATTCTGATGCTTGGCCTTCATATAACGTTGTAAAAGTTTAAACAATAAAATTAGGTTCATAACTTAATTTTTTAAGAAGCGTTACAATAATTTTGTTTTAAGTTTGCAACCCTGTAAAAAGATAAACTTTTTACAAAGCATTATTAAACGACTTTTCTTTTAATAAATATGGTACGAAATTTTTTATAGTAAACTCCTTTTTATTACTTCGTTTTCTAAAGAGAAGGCAACACTATTCATACAAGCCTTCTAAAATATTCCTTTTTGATAGTGATTTTATAAGAAACAATGATTAATTTTCGCTTAATTTTCACCTTTAAGTTCGTGTATATGAACACGCGACGTTACCCCGCGGGTACTGCGCAGTCGGCGTTGCCCAGGCCTGCTCTACATGCTAGATTTTAGATATTGGGGATTATTCTCGCTTTTATACGGATCGAAAATCTTGAAATGTTTCTATCATTTACTATACAAAAATATCAAATTTTCGATTCATACGAATACAGAAATACGCCTCATTATATTTTTTTAGTTTTAGTCACAACTTTTACATTTTTTCCTTAATAGATAAATTATTATTTTCAAAATTAGGTAATTAAAATTTTTTCGAAGTTTGCTACCCTAATCAACTCGGTATTTTAAATGCACAGTGAAATGCGTAAAAAAAACATTTTTTAATATTTTGTCAATATATACATTCCTTGTTGACAATATTCCAGAATAAATACGTATGTATTTGCATGGCATGTTTCTATATTTATTCACATTTAAATATTAAATTTAATTATTATTAATTTTTAAATATATCGTAACCCTATTCAAAACTACTTCCTTCGTTCCCTACGAAAACCGTAAACATTTTCCGTCTAGCAATATTTCACTTTCAAATAAACATTTATTTCGTCAAGTTCCACAAAATAGCTACTCCGCAGACCCAGAAACAAATTTTGCTGCAATGAGCACCACTGTATCACCAACCGAACACCCACTTCTACTACATATCCATTTATTGCTGTCGCCACGCCGTTTTGTACATCATCACCTCAACAATGCAGCGCCACTCTCCAGCCAACCCTCTTCCCTTCCCTCTTCTATAACCAAAGATATACATTTGCTAAAAACAAACTCAACAGCACCGCACACGCAACGCCCTACGCTACGCATCCACACTCGCCATATTAACAAAATTTTCTTTAATTTCTTTTGTTTTGCTGCCGCGTCGTTTTTCTTATCTTTTGCTGTTATGTTTTTGTTAGTTATCTTGTTCTTGCCTCTGCCACCAGAGTCGCTGCACTGCCACGGCACTGCAAAAAGTTACTCATGCGCCCCTGTGTACACACCATGGGTGCACGGCAGTATTGGCGATGGTTGTGCTGTAAAACGCACGCGACTTTGCCTGGCTTATCAAACTTTCCATAGTTTTTTTTTTGCGACTAACAGTCAATGCTAACATCGGGGAAAAAGCAAGATAAACTAAAAAAGAAGGCAGGCGAAAAACCGACGCTGTGAAGCAAAGAACAATAAGATATCAAGGTATATGGGATTGCATGTTGTAGTTGTTATTGTAATTTGTATTCCTATTGCTTTTACTGCCACAGTGGGTTTATTTTGCATTATTTGTTTGACTTTTATTTTGACGTTTAGGTTTTTACTTTGACTTTCATTGAAGACGACAACTATGACGCTGTTAGCGGCGGCAATATTCGTGCAACTATTAGCGTCAGCAGCGTTGCTTGCTTCAAAGTCAACACTAACACTGGCACAAAAACCCGACGAAGATCTGAAATGCTCGATGCATGAAGCAGAAAGAAGCAATGAAAATTGCAAACGAAACAGAAATTAAAACAAAGTAAAGTAACTACAAAATGGAATTTTCAACACAAAGCAAAGCCAGTAGAGAGCTGACAGGGTGATGAGGTGCAGAAAAATTGGTAGGTGGCGCAAAATGGAAAATTTCCAAAGCAAAAGGAAGACAGCAAGTTGTTTTAGTACTGAAGACAGCAGCGTACAGACAAAACGAAAATTGCGTAAATCTCAGCATGGAGCTCGACGACGATGACGACGACGACGACTAGAAGCCACTCTAATGGATATCCAGACGTGGCCGCAGACATTGGCGGTATTTCCCGCCAAAAGTGTAAATATGTATGTACGTATGCAAGTGAAATTTTTGACTATGAAAACTAACAACGTTGCGTTTTTTTTTTTTTTTGTTTTGAGTTAAGGTCGAATTTTGCTGCTAAAATATGGAGTAGACGCAAATGGCTGGCGGCTGTAGGTACGGCGGTGGGAAATTCTACGAAATAGAGAAGAATTAAAAATGGGTTATGTGTAAGAGACATATGAATGTATGTACTATATATGTATGTATGTCTGTACATACATGCAAGTAGTAGTTAGTAAAGTTCGTTAGCCTCATAGCTTTAAACGTAATAAGTGGAATCTTGAATGCCATTTAAATTACAATGGAACTAAAATCACAGTAATATAAATTTAATTAGCGAAAAATATAGATTTTGCATTTTTTACTAAAAAGAAAAGCAAGAAAAATCAACAGCCCGCAAAATACCCGTACGCGTAATCGAAAATATTAAAAATCGAGTCTTTCAACCGTTTTCCGATTTCATTTTCAGTATTCTTTCAGACAAAAGTTGGAGTTCAAGGTAATATCGCAGAGAGTCAATTCATAGGTTCCTGTTTAGGGAAATCTATATATATAATACGCGAAGGCATTTTATGTGCAGCATAAAATATCTGCGCCGTTCGTTCGATTTTCAAAAATGGGGTGTCAAATTAAAGCGCTTAGGGTGTGGATGTTCAAAAAGGTTTTATCTTTTCGAAAAAAGTTGCCACCTGTTAAGAAATTTGGCTCAAATTGATTAAAAAGTTAAATGGATTGTCAAAAGATGGGTATCAATCGAAATGGGTTTGAAAATAATTTATTTCTAAACTGTATTTAGGAGAGTTGCCATGTGCTTAAAAAAATTAAATTCAACTCAATTCATCAGTTAATTGAAATATGTATAACAATTCCAGGCGAACGATTTTAGTTTGAAAATACTTTTAAAGGGGTTGTCACCTGTTTGAAAAGTTGAATTTGTTTTACTTATACGAAAGATACATAAATGAAATATCGAAATATTAGTGTCAAACGAAAGAGTTTTAAGAAAACTATAGGCTGATAATATTTTTAATTAGAGTTCTCATCTTTTTATATTTAAGGTCATCACATCTGCACCGTTATTTCGAATTTCCAAAATGAGAAGTCAAATTCTACATAGATGTGCACCGGTTTTATTTTTTGAAATTACAGGGAGATTTTAAATTTGATGAAATGAAAACCGACACCATGCGAGACCTCTCATCACTGAGAAATGGTTTAGATTTATCATTAGGAATATTTTTAGAGGTTTTTGAATAGAATTTCACCTGTTTAAAAAATTTAATTAAATGTTGGCGTTTTGACACCATGTGGGTTCACTAGTATACTCTATACTGCCAGGCTACCGTTTTTGCTTGCTTTTACAAAATGGCATGTGGAAACGAATTTAATGATAAATTTTCTTAACGTAAAGGCACAGCCATTTTTTAATGCTCAGCTTTTTCATTTAAATTTGTGTAATGCAAATCCGGCATTAATTACACGCAGGGATATGCCGGGTGTCCAGTAGATATCCGGTTTATCCGACCGTTATTCTGTTATCCGACTATCGGGCAGGATACTAGCTAAAGTCAGGCCAGATTTTCGGATCTTGATTTTGAAAGATTCAATTTAAAAGTGTAGTTCAGAAATTTATTTTTATTTTTATAATCAAATTTAATGTTGGATATCCTTAGTAATCAGATTATTTTAATATTTTTCATTATGAAAACAAGCATTTCCGATTTATGGGGCAAAAATCTATTTCTATTTTCAATATTAATGCTACCCGATGCACTAAACACACTTACTGAGTTCACTGAGGAAGGTGGTGCGCCGAGATACTTCTACTTCATTGCCAGTATAAACAAATTCTTTGCGATTATGCTTCCACCAAATAAAGGATCTTCTTGTCTAAGTTATAAGAGGTAGCTGTAAATATTTCTCCATTTCTAAATCGCTGTATTTTTCCTTGTACGGTCTTGTCTACTCATCGTTTGCCTATCCATGCCTCTAGAAAAACTGCCTCTACAAAACCGTTGGCGATTTCCTCCTGGTGGAGCCCCTCTTCAATAGAAGCTTTACCCAGTTTTTAGCTTTATTGATGTCAGAAAAAAAACTAGTTTTAAAACTTGGATCACAAAATATTGCAACAACGGGAGGATACGGGAAGCGGACGATATTTAAGCATGCATGATAGTAATTTTCATCAAATTTTTTAATAAAAATACATCAACCACGCATTTTTGCTTAGCGGCGTTCATTGTTTTTTATGTTTTGTCTTTGTCGTTTCTCCTCTATTTACCAAAAAATAAGCTATAAACCAGGATTGTAGACGTCAAAGTTATATTTTTAATACAGGATTATTTTATAACTTCGTATTCTTAAGTTCAGCTCGAAAAAGCCGATAATCTGGTCACACATAGCAAGTATGTGGCTAACCAAAAAAGATAAGTGCGCCTGGGCCACACTAGAGAAGTGAAACTTACGTTACATATCTATTTTGTCTCATAACCAATATACATACATAAATCTGCTTTTGCTTAGGTTATATTTTTCTCTTTTTTCTATCAGATCCCTACCTCTACCCCTGTCCGTTATAATAACATTTATGTTATTCTGTTTTCCTTTATCTTCATTTTTATCTTTATACTCCAGCGATAACAAAATTGATAGTAACATACAACAAAATATCGATAGCAAAACCGATAAAAATATCGATAACAAAATCGATGACAAATTCGATAAAAGTTTCGATAGCAAAATTGATAATACTATTGGTAGCAAAATCGGTTAGAAAATCGGTAGAAATATCGATAACAAAATCAATAAATAATCAATAACAAAAATCGAATAGAAAATCGAAAAAATGTCGATAAAAATATCGATAACAAAATCGATAAAAATATCGATAAGGAAATCGATAAAAAGACGATAAATAATCGATAACAAAACCGATAAATAATTGATGAAAAAACCGATAAATAAAACACAATCGATAAAAATATCGATAGCAAAATCGATAAATAGGCGATAACAAAATTGATAAATAATTTAAAAAAATCTACGAATAATCGTTAACAATATGGACAACAAAATCGTTTAAAAAATCTTAACAAAATCGATAAAAATACCGATTATTATATCGATAAATCCCGAGAATCCCGAAAATCTCTAAATTCCCAAAAATAGTTCTGTCTATATCTATATCCTTTTCTCTATAATTACTCTTTATTTTAATCTTTCTTCCTCTATCTTCATCTTTACTTTTGTCGGTATCGTTATCCTCATCTTTTTCTTTATGTTTATCTTTGTTTTTACTTTTATGTTTATCATTTTCTTCATCTATACACTTCCCTTAAAGTTAAAGTTAATTTACCTTCGTCTTCATTTTTTCCTTTATCTTTACGCATCTTTATTTTTGTTTTTATTTTTCCTTTTGCCTTTATCCTTTTCTTTGTCGATGTACGTACTCATCTTTAGTTTCATTCTTGTGTTGGTCTTTTTCTAAGTGTTATTCTTTAGTCTTTTATTGGCAAATTTTTGTTAAATTCATAACATGTGCATACACTCAAGAAGCACTTGTTTCAGCTCCAACCATTTCCGTTGCACCATTTCCGTGTGCGATTTCCGTTGAATTTCTCAATTTACTCCCAACCAATCAACCGCCGCTAAAGAAGTTTCACTTCAAAAACATAATCAGGCTGATCATGAATATTCGGTGAAAAATTCCCTTTATCATGATTGTATAACAATTTCGGGTGAACGGTATTTCACATAGAAATTTCAAAGTTGGGTTACAAAGCCATTAAATACAATTTCAATGTTGAGCATACGTATTTCGTATTAAGTATTTCGTACATATGCGAAAATTTAGCAATTGTTTTGGCGATTTTATCTGTGAGAGTGGCAGTTATTTCACTGGTGAATACGGTATACGATAGTGTGAAAAGGTGCCGTGATATAGCCCCAAGTAGCATAACCCCAATTTTAAAATTTGAGTAGTGACATAAACCCAATTTTTTTACTTGGGGTTATGTCCCTTTTTAAGGAGTTACATATTTACAAACGGAAAGGCGAAAAAATTCCAAATCCCTCATATAATTTTGCACACCAAAAAAACTTGGAATGTACAAGAGTAATGATAAACGGCATTTTTATCAAAACACTGTCATAGAAACTGGATTTGCCTACATTATTTTCTTGTCAACGCCTATAGGCAGTCTAATATTACAACATTTGTATAACTGATAAGCATTACTTACTAGACGTCACGTTTGCTGAGGTTCCACGATGTGGATAAAAGCAATTGTTTATTATGTACCCTTACTAAGTGGAATTATCCTTTCTGTGTTGCCGGAAAAGAGGGTCGGAAGTTATTTTGCGCAGAACTTCTATCTGCGTAGGCGGCCTTCGGCGAAATATATTAAAACATAGGCAGTCATAGCGAAGTTAAAAAAAGGTTTTAAAGATTAAAATTGTGTTTTAGAGTCATCACCATTTAAACTCTTTCATATTTAACTTTAAAAATGAGGAGTACGTAATTTTAAAATGCTAAAATAAGGCTTTAAGTTTTGTTTTGCAGTTGAAGTAGTAAATGCAGAAGCACCCAGGTTCGGTCCCCACTCCGAGCGATTCCAAACAATATTTTTTTAATATCACTATTTTTTTGAAATATATATTTTGTTAAATTTCATTTGATTACCTTTTTCGGTTTATGGTATCTCACATAATTGTTTCAAGTTAATAAAATTTTTGAAATTAAATTTTAATTGAAAAGGTAACAACAACTATAATTACATTAAAAAATTAAAATAATATTTAATAGAACAAAAAAGAGGTAAACAAAATTTCCTGGCAGTGGGATTCGAAAACACGACTTCCCAGCTTGCTAAATCCGCAAACTTGGAGCGAACACAGGGTGAACTAATTAAAGTACTCGTATTTCTTAATATTGCCGAGTAAATTTTTTCTCTTTATATCTCTCTCATCTTAAGAAAAAGCTGTCA